AATAGTATAGTTTTAATTTTTTTTTTACTATTTTTCAAAGAAAATAAATAAAAATTACATAATTGTTGGACAGTCGAAAAAAATTAATTAATGCAAAATTGCATCATTTCATCACCATAAGATATTAAGATGTCTCTCAATTTATGTAGATTCTAATAATTAAAAGAAAAAAATCAATTAAAAAATTGGGACATCACGAAGAAGCATTAGAGAGTAGGACATTAGAAGTCCCAAGCTCTGCAAGCAGTGCATTCATCACAGTCAAAAATCTAGGTGTGAAGGACACACACTAACAGCCCATTTATATATAAAGGGCACTGTGTAATATAATGAAGCGTTATATCACAAGAGAGATGGAGGTTGAACTCAACCAAATAACATCTTCTGGCCAAATGAGCCTTCTTTATGAGGCAGCATATAGTGGGGATGTATCGATGCTTAATTCATTGATACAGCAACACTCACATATCTTGCACAAAACTTCACAAACTGCCTTCGCCGAAACTCCTTTACACATCTCATCTTTGCTTGGTCACCTTCAATTCACAAAGGAACTTGTCACTCACAAACCCAATCTTGTCCTTGAGTTGGATTCCTCCCGAAAGACAGCCCTCCACTTGGCTTCTGCAGAGGGTCACTTTCTCATCGTAAAGGAATTGCTTAAAGCTAAAAACGAGCCATGCTTGTTTCCAGATGAAGAAGGAAGAATTCCTCTTCACTATGCTGCTATGAGAGGAAGGAAAGAGGTTGTACAAGAGTTGATCAAAGCGAAGCCAGAGTCTCTGAGTTTTCGTCACCAAGGAAAAACTGTATTTCACTTGTGTGTCACATACAACCATCTAGAGACTCTCAATGTTTTGGTGGAATTGGAGTCTGCCATTACTGGCAAGCTTCTCAACTTCACGAGCTCGGATGATGCTGGAAACACCGTTCTCCATTTTGCTACCATGTTGAACCGAGTTGAGGTACAATATTAATTCTTTTGCTATCCCTTTTCTTTTCAATTCTGATAACAGTTTCTTTTTTAGAGTTTACATGCACTTTATTTTTGGTTATATCAAAATGACTTGAATCTTAATCAGTGGTTACTACCATAACTCACCTCACTTCTACGACATATACTAGCACGTGGGAGCTTGATGCAATGTATTAACAATAATGCAATTTAACAATTCCGGTATTTGTCGTATGGTAGTGTGTTTTAGTGATCAGTGGGACAATAAGGCTTACTGTCGTTATAACATGATAGTGTGCCATAAATATAACTAATTTATTATTCCTTTTTATATATCTCATATTCAAACTGTTAATTTATTTATGTTAAAACAAATCAAAATTCTTACTCATCACATTCTTTGGTTATTTATGATTAGATTCCTTGTGGAAATCCCAGTAATATATATATATATATATATACACACACGTTTAATTTATACATTTAAGGCGCCAGAAAATGAACTTTGAATACTTGACTAACATGTTTGTTATTTAGGTGATAAGCTATCTGGTGTCAATTCCGGAAATGAGAGAAATAGCAATTTTGAAGAACCAGATGGGCTTCACAGCCCAGGATATCGTGGAACAGAGTCCAATAAAAGACTTTAAAATCTGCGAAATACAACACATATTGACAAAGGCTGAAAAGGAAGGATTTGAAGCTGATCATCATCATCCACACCCACCTCAGAATGGTAATTCTTGTATGAAGATCTTCAAGGGGATCGGAATTATGAAGATTTTAACATGGGTAGAATATTGGCTGAAGCATGAGGGTAGTTGGTTAAAAGAGATGAGGGGGTATCTGAGTCTGGTGTCAACTGTGATAGCAACTATAACCTTTCAAGCTCTAATTAATCCGCCTGGTGGCTTTATTCAACAAGGCTTATTGTCTAATAATGAGTATAACACCTCATCAACTGAACCCCCCAATATCAACTCATCAGCAAATTACATCTAGAACTGCACCTTCCTTCATAATAAAAAATATTGTCCAGGAGAAGCAATATCATCCTTTAATCTGCCCATGCAATTTCGGAGGTATTTGGTTTGCATTACCATCTCTTTTTTTCATCACTTGGTGTCACCCTCTTGCTTGTAAGTGGGTTTCCTATGAAACATAAAGCTGTGATATGGCTGCTATCAGTAGGCATGTGGATCACTCTCTCTTCCCTTGCGCTCGCCTACTTATTGGCCTTCGTAATTGTGCTCCCAGTTCAACTTGAACTGGAGAAATCAATTCTGATTACGATAGAGGTAACATTAATGGTATGGTTGATCTTGTTTGTGCTAATTTTGGTGTTAATCACACTACGCTTTCAATTTTGGATTGGGAAGAAATTTGTCAAGATAATCAACAAGTCAAGAAGTTGGAGGAGAGAAAATGGATGTTGCAGATTGGCACCCGCGTTTTTAAGGCTAATTCTTATTATTGTTGTGTTAGTAATCTTGTGCTTCCAATTATATGTATTAGTTTCCCTTGTTGATTTCACTGTTATAGAGGTAAAATATGTATCCGATATTGTACGTAATTAAATATAACCTGCAGCGTGTTGTACCATATGTGATAATAAAATTGCTAGTGAAGAAGATCATTTTGTGTCCAGTTTTCTTATCTTAAGAGCGCGCATTTTCAGATTGAAATGAAAAGCTTCTATTTGAAGCATTTGAAAGGAAAACCCTCCATTCATTGTTGAAAGCTGAAAAATTACTGTTAAAAGTTTTTAAGGGTGACAAAAAGTCACTACAATATCATCATGAGAACTCTTATCCCTAATTTTATCTATGGTAACAATAAAAGTTGCCGCTAAAAGTTGAGAATTAGTGGTGACAAATATTGTTATAGAAAGGAAAATTTATCGTCACAGAAAGTTGAGAATCATCAGTGACAAATGTTGCCGCTAAAAAATAATGTTGTTTACCTACCCACATTTTTCCATGCCACCCTCCACGTGACGCCATACCTATATTTTTATTTTATAAAGTTGCCTCCTCTAAAGTTTGAACCCATGAACTCTTTTTTTGTGGTCCAACCATTTTTTCACTGAATTAGAATAAATCTATAATCTATTATTGTATAATTAAATGTGTGTGTTATTAAACTATACAAACACATATATATCTTAAATATTTAATATTATAAAATATCATTACTATTATCAAATATTTAAATTTAATTATTTTAATTTATTAAAGTTGCAAATTATATTATTTATTTTGTCTAAAGTAAATTATAAATATAATTGATACAATATCATTTGTATTATTTATTTTCATTTCTTTTACTTCTTGAGGTTATTATATCATTTATTTTAATATTCATATTTATAATTGTAATATAAAAAATATCTAAGAATAAATAATAAAAATATAAATGATTATACATTAGTTCATAATTATTTATTTTTCTAGCTAGTTTTATTTAAAATTTTAGTTTTACTTTTAATTAACAATAACTCTAAAGTAATGTAATTGTCTTGTTTTTATATTAACATTTTACTTTTTTAATTAATTTTCATTTTTAAATTATAATTTTATAAGAAAATTATACATCTAGTTTTTTTATACTTATGTCGCAAGATAACATCAAACAAAAAAAAAATTATATAGCATCACAAATATAGATATATTTCATATATTGTAAAAGTTAAAAGTAAAATTTTAGAATCTCTCATTTTTCTTCTTTTCATTTCTCTCTTTCCTATCATTAACCATTAAATTGAGAACATCTAAATCGACATCAAGCTTTCAACAATGACATTTAAAGTCACTGTCAAAAGTTTTACTTTTTATGACAATCCTAAAAAGTCACTGCTGGTTGTCAACTAAGTCGCCACTAAAACTTAGACCTTCGATGGCTATATACCCTTGTCATCATTGGAAGTTTAACAATTAGCGGTAACTTCTTGAAGTCGTCAATGAAAGTAAATAATCTGCGGCGGTAATAAAAGTCGTTACTAAAAGTTTGACTTTAGTTGTTGCTAAAAGTCACCGTTGAAAGTTATTATTATTATTATTATTATTTTTGATAGTGATTGGTGGTTGAGCTTTGTAAATGTAATTGCCTATATACCTTCTTATACTTATATAAAAACTAGCGTCTGACCCGGAAAATATCGTGAAATTAGATTAGATCAAATGTTTGTGTAAAGTTATGTTATTAGCCAATAAAGTGAAGTAAATTATGAAACATACCGGTGATGATAGGCTATTTATTTGAATTATGAGTAATGAACTTGTTATTTACATTTTTGTTGGTACTAGTCTTCAACTTTACATGGGGCCACATAACTCTTAATAATAAAGAGAACAATTCAAGGAATTTCCTTTGTTGCACCCCAAACAACAAACTGGTGTTACATATACATGGTTCTAAATACAATCATTATCTTTCAATCCCTTCCTCCATTTTTCAGAGTGTCATGTCATCCTCCTCTTTTAGTGCACATTACTGGAAGTCTAAAACATAAAGTTGAATATAATGCCTTGCTAACATGCAAAACTTTTTTGGGAACTATTGTATTTTATACAAAGAGCTTCTTGTTCATATATCAAGAAAAGAGCTTACATGACCATTAAATATGGACGTGGAGTTGGGAAACCTTTTAGCTCTTTAAGAAGTGAAATTTAACTCATCCCCTGTATTTTTTCCCCCTTTCAATAAAGCTAAACCAAGAATCAAGCAACCATATCTTCAAACAAAAAGTTGTTTAATAAGCAATCTGCAAGCATGCAATATATAGTCCCAATACTCCTACCCAGCACATGATTTGTGAAAGCATTTACTAAAATAACATTGTTATAAAAATTTAAAATATGATTTTATTATATTAATTATGTATTAATATAATAAAACTCCAAACATTTAGGTACTCTCTCTCTCTCTTTTTTTCATTTCCTCTTTATAAATTGCATCTTGATCTTTATACAAATCTTCTATATCTGATCATTTTTTATCTTACTACAGAATTATTTATTGACCAAACATGTTTATGAATGCGAATGATAATGTAAATATACAGCTAAAAGAATGAACAGTGTCCTTTTCCAGCAAAACTGTTCATGTTACACTGGGAACATCATAATCAATAGGCAGACAAATATTTAAGAACATAGTCAGTTAAAAATTTCTTAGGGAAGCAAAAACACACGGTTTCAATCACAAAATTCAAAGTAAACTAACATGCATTACTCCAAAGACCTGAGAAAAGATCAACTAAAAGATTTATCATGACAGATGCGGATCTTACAAAATGACTTGAGTTGTCATTTCTCAACGTCTTTGCATTACAAGAGGCTTCTAGTATTGGATTAGTCTTCAATATCTCATACTCTATTCCACTTCCACCACCCAAAGCAGCCAAGTAATGCATTGTTATCTTTGCTGTGTAAGTTTTTTCAGCTCCACTTTCGCCGCTGAACATGGTAAGGATAAATCATAAATTAAGTCCCAATGTACACAGCATATACAATAAACAGTTAAATGATGTAATATGGAGGGTTCACAATTTTAAGGAAAAGTGAAGAGCCAAGAGCAAGATTGACATAATAGAAAACAAATTCTAGACACAAGATGGTGGAGAAAGCTTTTAATTCAATAAATAAGGACAGGTTGATCTCAAATACAAATTTAAAGTTACCAGAATTTTGTTAATTAACTATTTACTGACCTTATAATAATGGATTGATTTACTTCATCTGGGAAAAAAAAAGCAAGAATAAGAGTAAGAAATGCTTAAAGCGAATGAGGGTTTCTAACAACTAAACCTCTTTTATATTTACGTAGGCACACATATATGTATCTATGTATATTATGTGTGGGAAAAGAACATGTGACCTCACTTCCTGGATAGCTTTGTCTATAATGGCATATACATGAGGGCTTTCAATTATTCTACGCTTGCATGCTTCAATATAATCATTTCCATAGACACGAACTTTCTTAAAGGGATTAACAGCAACCAAAATTGGCCAAGCTTTCATCTCATCGCACAGTTTTATACATAAAGATGTTACAATAGGTTATATTAAGGACACAATGAAGACAGGACTTCAAAGATACATGGACTTACATAAATCATATTTTGATTGGATCGTGTTGCAAATTGTAGAAAACCAAATGTTCATTTAAATAACTAAGTTGCATCAGATCATCCACTCCTTCAAGAATATCAGAATTTGCCGAGACCAAACTTTCACCTTTAAAACCTATAATAAGGAGAAGAGTATAGTTAAACAGACATTCAAAAGAAAAACCATTCAGTAGAGTTCAAACCATTTTACCTTTCCATTAAAGTTCAAACCATTTTATCTTCCCATCAAGTAGTGAAATGACAGATTTAGTTCTGGGAAGTTGATATTATCTTCCCCAACTCCCAATTTCCAGTTGGAAGTTGATGCCAGATTGAAGCTTTTGAAATAGTGAACTTAAGAAGTAAGAGAGATGTTTAATATATTTTATTAATCTGAATTTAACGTTAATGATGACAACTGGCACCAATTCTTCAAACTATTGTGAAAATGACTTATATGGCCATTTCTGCATTTAGAGCATTTATAATTATAATTATAATTACAATGCATAATAATCTTACAAAGAAAACATCCAAGGCTTTCATGAATATACGCCCATCACCTAGTATACTACATTCAATAGACAACTATGTTAGCGCAAATAGATAATACATAGTTTCCCATCAGCTCATTTTCATTTTTAGAGGAAAGAAACTTAGTTTCCCATCAGCTCATCCAGTATAATACAGAGTTTCCCATCAGCACATGTAGCGTGATACATTCAAAATAGCATTAGAGGCAAGAAACTTAACAATACGTAGTTTCTCCCATCAGCTCATTTTTATTTTTAGCATTCTACAAAACACCAATCCAACTGAACATAGGACTAGGATGCCACGGCATGTCAGAGGAACTAAAAGATTGTCAATTATTCTGCAAACCATTGTATCCTAAAACCTAAAGCCTAGATGTAGCTCTGTTTTTCAAGCAATTCCTATCATGTTCTGAACTAAGAATCTGATGCTCCCATATACAGACATCCATGTCTTAAGAGTTTTAGAGTATTAAATTGATTGATAATGACGCCATCGTTCAAAGACCAAAATAAGGTTCTTGTCAAAAAGCAAATAGACCCTATTTTAAGCATCCCCTTTTCACATCCTCGAATCAACTATTCAACTTCAGTATCTTACATGTTCTTTAACTGATAACCCAGTCACTTATGACCTCAGAAGGGCTCACCATCCCCCAAAAATATTTATAAAAATACCTTAAACCTCATGATTAGTCTAAGGACAAAGATGCTTTTTGAGAGAGCTCACAAGCAATACAAATCATCATCAATCAATATCAATAATCAATAGTACTATAAACAACACACAATTGCTTGTGACTCTGTTTGTGCGTATAAATTAATCCTTAATCAGCAACAGGCGTATAAATTAATCCTTAATCAGCAACAGGTATATAAAGTAATTACTGATTATTGATTGCCAATATGCATAATAGATGCAAACATAATTTTAAGACTGAAACTTCCAATTAAAAAATTGAGATTGCAAAAATTTATAGACTTGGCATTCCCCTCCTTTCACTCAGGATGTTTGCATCCTCGGTTATGCTACTGGGATGTATTTAATTGATTTTTAAAATAGGTGCCAGTTCAGAGAGTTCAATGCCGATTCTCCCACGAACGAGTTCAAGACATGAGCAAATGAGATTTAGAAGATGGTACAATAAATAGGAAAATAACATCTCATTATATTACCTACTCATTTTTGCTCATGACCATGGTCACCATGAACGGCTCTTGATCTTCGGAAACACTGTCGTTGGAGAAACTCAAGCGCAAATTTCCCTCCTGTCAATTTCGTCATCGTATCGCACTCGAGAGGAGTCGTGTGTCATCCTCGACACCACCATCTTTGGGAAGATCAGGTCTGGAACCTTGAATCTGGATCCGTCTCTTCGTCCGGAACTGTTCCGTCTAGAGTTGGAGTTTTGGAGGGTGATGAGACTCAAGACGGAGGGAAGGATGCAACCTGCGAATGCTATGCTGGTTGATGCCTCTGGGACTCCCCAACCCAAAGCCAAACGCACGAACAAATGGCAAACCATAAACTTGACCCATACTACAAGAACAGAAATATGGGCAAATGGAAATTGTGCACCCTAAGAAACGTGGAGAGGAAGAAAAACATTAGCGTGCAGACCAAGTTGGGATGGAAACAACAAAAAATCAAGCACCACCTGCCCAAACCGCCGTGTGAACTCTGCACTGGAATAGGCGAAAAATCCTGGACTTCAAATTGGGAAGCACACTCGGCGGGAACCCAACTTGATGCCCAAGAAAATCCGAAACATGGTACAGTGAGGAGGGAAGAAGTAAAGAGGAAGGAAAAGGCACGGAAGCAACCCACAATCGAAGGGCATTTCCAGTAATTTACTATATAGGATGATCTGACACCCTACCCAAGGCAGAATGACGCCACAACGTCCCTTGCAAGGCAACCCCCAGACATGAGACAACCCATAAACTGACCCATTTGTGAAAGATGCGCACAAACCGAATCAGGATAAGTACTGTTAAAGTACTGTAGCTGGTTTTCTAAAATTTAGATAGGAGATTGATTCTTCCAAGATTTGTTACTAATTATACATGCAAGATTCTTAATAAACATTTAAAATTTTGGGACCTGGGAAAACTACGAAATACTATCCTTTCTATGATGCCGAACCGGAAAATAAAAGAAAACGAAATGGGGGGACCGAGGAAACAAATTAAAGCACCTTCTCACCTAAGGTTCCATTTCCAGCCTATTGGACTAGAGAGATGGAAGCCGAGGTAACTGACCTCGTTCAGAACTAATCCACATCCCAATCCTTACAGGGACCAAGTACGCAGAGTTGATTGAAATAAAAGGAGGATATAAATATAAAAAATAACTTTGTCCATAAAAATATTTTTTATCGCTTTTAAAAAAATTAGACATGTCATATTAATAATAAAAATAGGAAAGACGTAATTTTTAGTTTTTGAGCTTTGTTTCAATTATCAATTCATTTTCTGAACTTTGAGGTCCCCGTCTGGTTACTAAAAAAATTTGAATGGAATTGATTAAAAAAAACAAAGATAAAAATAACATGATCAAAAGGATAAGTGAATCGCATTCATAAAGGAGAGGGGTATTTAGTTTATGGAATTAAAAATCATAATTTATGAAATTTTTAAAGGTGTGATAATTTTCACATTTATAATTTATATTAATAAATTTTATTATGCTTATTATAAGGGGAAGGGTGATTTAATTTATTTTTATTTTAATTTTTTTTATTATATTTCATTTTTTTAGTAATATAATGAAACTTGATTCTTTAGAGCAACTCAATTCCTAAACTTTTTAGACTTTAAATAAATTAGTCTTTTAAAGTTTTTTAATTCAGTTTAACTCAATCTTTAAATTTCTTAGAATCAATAAGCTACAAAGAGGAGTAACATTGAATCAAAGATTAAAAATTAAATCTATAATTGAGAGAAAATTTGAGGACTAAAAATTATATTATCTCATAAAAAAATAACCCAATCTTTATAATTTTTTGATTCTATATAAGCCACTATCTCTCACCAAGAGAGTCTGGGCAATAGAGCCTTATGTTATTGCTGAAGTTTTGTCTTCTGCAGACTTGCAGCCCGTTTTGTATGGCCCCACCGCATGAAGCATGTTGGTTATTCTTTGACTCATTCATTAACATCAAATCTCTCTGTACCTGTGCCTGTTAGGCATTGTTTGGTTGGAGGATGGAAAAATTTTAAAATTTTTTTTTTCCTCTCTTCTAAAACCTCTTCCTCAAATTAAGGGAGCCTCCCTCCCCTCCTTCTCGTCTCTCCCTCCCTCCCCTCCTCTCCTCTCACCTCCCATCCTCTCTCTTTTTTTTAAATCAAACAGAACCTTAGAAATAAACATACATGCAGCTGTTATACATCAAATGATTTTATGCCAATCAGGTAATTCAATTGCTTTAGGGGCATTTTAATCCGTATGTTAAAAAAGACCAAGGTATTTTGGAATAATTTCAAAAATTTTAAATGTAAAAATTGAGAAGTTTCTGGAAAAAAAATAAAACGAGATGCGTGAATCAAAGGTTAATTTGGAGGAGAGAACACGGATGTTGCAAATTTGCACGTACGTTTTTTAGGCTAATTCGTATTTTTGTTATGTTGCTGATTTTTTGGGGCCGATTATACGCATTGTTTCCCTTATTGCGCTACTGTTGAAGCGGCAAAATATGTACACAATGCTAAGCATACTATTAGAAAAAATGGTTTTGACGTGCCCGTTTAACATCGGTTATAAATAACTGTTGTGATAAATAAGGCGATGGTAAAATTATAAATATATTAAATATTTTGAAAATGCGTAACGGACTTTTGACATTGATTTCATATAACCGACGTCAATAATATTTTCAACACCGGTTTTCTTGAAAACAGACATGCAAAATGACGTTTTCAACGTCGGTTTCAAAAAAAACTTTAAATCTGTAAGCATGTAAGCATGTGATAATAAAATTGCTAATGAAAAAGATCATTTTGTAACCGGTTTTTTTTTTTTTATTTGGGTGTGTGACATTTAAATCTCATATACTTTCTCTGATTTTATTCATAAATCACTTTCAATATTTTTACCAGAATCAAGAAAACCTTAAACCTCATTAATTATATCTTAAAATTTAACAAGTTTTCAACTTTACCCCTATTAAATACTTACTCTAAAAAAAAATGCTCTAGTTAATGATCTCTCTAACATTGAAGAGGGGAAAAAATAGTAAAGATAGACATAATAATATTGAGGTGCCCTATAAATAGAACCAAAATAAATCTTTTTCTCTGTCTTATATATAGAACTAGAGGAATAGTTGAATTAATAATACTTAAATTAAGTTTTTGATCTTTAAAAAATGAATTAGAAATATCAATTTAAATTGTTAAAATTAACTAGGAAACTTAGTTACATTTGAAATTTGAATTTAAAATTTAAATGTCATATCTGTAATTGAAACTTTTAACTTTTCAATTAACTGAATCAATTTTTTCAACAATTTGTCTATACATAACTATCATTAATTCAATCAATTAGGATTTAACTGTTAATTCTCCTTTCTCAGTTCAAGAGCAGCATTCTGGGACCTTAGAATAGTACTAAGTACCTATCCTTTTTATAACCGCAAACATTTCTTTCCCAGAAATAAAACGACATTGGGGACCGTGAATACTGAATACAAAGCACCTTCGTCTAAGGTTCCATAGATTTTCATTTTGACAACTTCACCCCGTGTTTGAAGTAAATTTAGAAAGTTGCACTTGTAATTATGATTTTAATTGATGCAGGTGCATTTTTAACAGTGTAAGATTTTTCCTACTGTTAAAAAAGATCCAGGTATTTCAGAATAATTCAAACATTTAAATGTAACAATTGAAAAGGTACCGTTCTAGACAAAATTAAATAAAACGATATGCATGAGTCATAATGGTACCGTGGCACCTTCAATTGTTGATGGACTGACTGAGACCAAAATCACCGCTTGAGAGTACTCCATGACTTGCCTTCATTTGGATGCATTTGAAAAAGCTTCGTCCTTTGACTGGTACTGTACACATCCATCCAATATATACTAAAGTCTTAATCCGTGATGTCCCACATATCTAGGCATATACAACCAGACATCTCACTTATTTCTCTCCTCATATAGCCGATCAGAAATGAGAGAATATCATGGAGCATCAGTTGATCAGTAGCATTATTGAACTTTCAAGTTCGATAATTGCCTTAATTTAAGCCATTATGAATTAAATGCACGTGCACATATATAACCAAGTTACCCAAAACTTGCCCATCCTAAAGGAAGGAAGAGGAGGAATTTTTGTGTTATAAAAGACACACATATGCTAACACAGGTCTGGTGGACCAATGTAAAACTTTATATAACCCAACTAAGGTAGAGGAGTTAGACCATGTGGAGCACAGCCCAAGGAGCGAAAGCGACATGTTTGGAGGTGCCTATGTCCAAGAATGCAAGCTTATATTGTGTCTAAAGATTCGTTATCAAGCTGTGGAGGTCTGGCGTTGATAGACCAATCTATCATAGGATGATTCTTTGATGATAATACATGTGTTATAAGCCTACTCCAATAGAGAGCCCATGTTTTGTGAAGAATAGTGCAAAGACCAATAAAATAAGGGCTTAATGGTGGAGCATAAGAGTCCAAGAGAGCCCATGTTCTTGATTGTTCTCTTGAGTTTCCACTGATTATTTGGTTGAATGATATGGCACTAAAACTCTAGTAGTCAAGATACATACTAAAACTTATTGTATTTTGAATGTTGCAATTGTTTTTTTTTTATATTTTGTGAGTTATTTTTTTATTGGAGGGGATTATAATAAGAAAAAAATACAAATATTTTTTTTAAAAAAAGATTTATAACATCAGTTCTTAAAAAACAACTGTGAAAAGTCACTTTTCACATTGGTTTTGTTATGATATTGATGTGAAAAGAAGATTTTTCACGTCGGTTTTGAAGGCAACCAACTTGAAAAGTAACTTTTTACATTAGTTTAAAAATCAATATAAAAAGCTAACTTTTTACCATGTTATTTTTTACTTCTCTCTAAAATCTAGTGTAAAAAGTCTTTTAAATTGACATGAAAATTCTTTCTTGTAGTAGTAAAGGCATGATGAATTATGAAATCAAGTCCATTTTAAATCAGACATGTTATAAGAAGCTTAGTCCCATCAAAACAAAAAAAAAAATCTAATTTACCATGTGATAAAAGTGGTATTTGATGAGGAGCACATTTTTTACAAAATTTGAAACATTAATGGTATGACCTTGCCGAAATTGAAGATCTCCTTGATTGATTAGGATTTGAATTTCCACATTATCTCTTAATTGATTCAAGATTAGATTTGTTTTCTTTTTTGTTGAGTCAAGACTATCTAGTTTTCTATTTCTTGTTTTCGTTAATTAGAAAGATTGAATCTTACATTTAGTTTCTTATTTTATTCTAGTCAAGATTTCTTTTAATATTTTAAGAAGTTTCAGTTATTTTAATCCCATAATTTAAGAATTGTTGAATATTTTATTTATATTTTTGAATCTAAGGTTTCAATTAGGGTTTTGAGTTTGGTCTTTGCTTATAAATAGGCGTGCCTTCATTTTTTGTAACCTAAGATATGTTGATTAATAAGATTATTTTATTATTAGAGTTTATAACTTTTGTGAGCCTTAGTGTTAGTGTTAACATCTTATGGCGAATGCAAACATGATCAAGAGTTTGATCATTTTTGTGGTGTCTTCAAAAGTTAAAATTACTAGAGACAGGTACTAAAAAAACCTTCTCCTTGATCTTTATTTTTTCTTTTTCTTAATTTTGTTTTCTTCTTGTTCTTCCTATTTTCATTTCTTCCTTTATGTTTCTTGCATTTGTTTTGTATTTCGACATTCTATTCCTAATTAGCATGATTTTGCTTCTGCATCCTGTATCATATACATATTACATAAAATTTAAAGAATAATTGTATTAATATCATTTTATTCCACTAATAAAATAATTAGTTGGTTATAACTTTTTAATTATGACTTGTTATAAATTGTTCATGTATATGCGTTGTTATATTGATATACTTTATGTAACATTTCAATTTAAATTTTAATAGTTAATTTGTATTAATAGAAATTTTGGTGAATATTTAGAGGTAAGTAAATTAGTAAAAGATGATTATTAGATTTAATTTGAAATATAACTCTAAGTTAAAAATTTTAGAAATTGTTATTACTACTAGTAGTAGTAATATAAAGAAGAAAAAGAAATATAAGAGAGAGATTAATAAAGTTAAAAAAAGAAAGAAGGAAGGAGAAGGTAACGGGTTTCCATTCGTGTGCATGTAGGGACATGTATGTGTGTCGATACATACATACATACATAAAAAAGGACGAAGGAGTTTTCGCATGGAGCCCACACCTTTCTTTTTCTTTTTTAAAAAAACACACACCCAATTTCTTTTCATTTCTTTCCTTCCCTTTCTCATCTCGTCGTCTGCGAAAAGAGGAGCAAAATTAAATCAGAGCGTGCGCGAGGATGGTGAGAGGAATTTGATTCTAGTTTTATAATAAGATATTTTGGATGAGATTTTAAGCTTTTTAAAACTATATAAGTGTTTTAATTTTTTTAATTATCTATCCTCTCTAGCTTTTGATTCTGTGATGGTAAAAAATCTAAGATTTGAAAAAAGGGATGAATTTAAGATAAATAAATGTAATTGTTGATGTTATTTATAGTATAATAAATGTTCTAAATTATAAATTTGTTAATAGGATTTGGATTTGAGGTTTATGAGTTAAATCCTAAAATCTATAGGTAGATTTTTGTTAAATTTGAAACTATATGTTGATTTATTGAGATTTAGATAATTATTTAGGTTAGGATAAAAAATAGATTATTATGGCTACAGAAAGATGATTCCAGACTTAGATTAAATTTGTAATTTTTGAACATTTTTAGGCGTGAATTTATGAAATAAAAAAAATTTTGATAATAAAAATTGATTTAGAGGTTAATTTTAGCTTATTAATGTTTATTGATTACTAAAAGAGGAGTTACAAATTTTACTTGATGATACTAACTCTAAATTTGTATTAATAATGAGATTAAGAATTATGTTATATTCTCTAATTCTATTATTAGAATTATTTTATTAGTTTCAATAATTAAAATTAATATTTATAAATAATATATTATTTGTAGATTGTGTTGCTGGTGAATATTATAGTGGAAGAGAAATTATAAAAATAATTTATTAAAAAGCTGTGAGGTAACCATGCTTTTAATTTATAATTAGTGTTGCTTCATGTTCATTGTGTGATTGTTGAGAATATTATAAATTATTGTTGAGAAATTATTTTCTTATGTTTACAAAAAAATTTATGAAATTGTGAATATGCATTTTAAAATATTTTTGTTAAGTGGGATGTCATATTATAATATTGTTAGAAATAAAAAAATTGTAAAAATTGTAATATTAAGGTACTGAGAGACTCGCTGTTTTTTTTTTACTGCAAAAGGAAGACTTGCTGTTGTTATTGTATTTATATGCCACATGGTACGCCTCTATTAGAGACTCAATAAGTGGCTTATAAGGATTTGAGCTAATATACTTTTGGCCGGATAATTTAACACCGAGTGAGGGTTATAGCTCAAGATTAATGGAGGAAGATAAGGATGATTGTTTGTCATGCATTATAATATTTCTGGTATTTTTATTGATATTATATGATTGTTGTTTCTTCACTTAACAAGCACACATTTAACTATTTGTATACATTATCATGCATTGGCATTGATTACTTAAAATTTTAAGTATCATTATGTGATTAATAATTTTTAGGAGAAGAGCCACGAGTAGTACATAGAAGAGTTCCTAAGGCTTAGTGGTATAAAGCCATAAATCCATTATCTCTTTTGGGCATTTTGATTTATGATTTTTAATGTGTTATATTGTCAATATTAGTGTTTTTTGTTTATTAACAATTATATGAATATGATGATGTAATCATTCCTTTCAAATTGTTTATGCCTTTGATACACTTTGGATGACTATAACCTTGATGTCTTCTTTCTTTTGGATAGTTTGAAATGGCATGATTATTGGGCTATATAATTGACTTGTTTTGAAAATTAATTGAGCTATTTATTTTGGTTGAGTTTATGGTTTGCACTTGTTGAAAGTATAAAGTTAGAAAAACATGATTTTGGCTTAATAGCATGCGGGAGGTTAAAATTTATTTAAAGTGTTGAATTGTGCAAATCTAAACTAATTATTAAATGCTTTTATATTAAATTTATTGATATAAAATGTATTAGGTAGCTATAATCTAACTATAATAGTAGATGTGTATTAACAATATTACAAATTATTTTGTGTTATTTGGCAAAGTTAATAGGTGGTTTTAATATCTTAAAATGCATAATTACTTTTATTTTTTTTATTCTATTGAGTTTATTATATTATCAATTTTAAAAGGATCTTTTGAACATTTCACACTTGTATTATTTTAATTGCTTGGAATCCTAAATTTTAAAAATGACAATTTAAGAAATTTAAACTCTACTTATTATGATAGTACTTGTTTATCTATATTAAATTTTTATATCATGGTGGTTATTTTAAAAAGTGAAATATTTTATAAAACTATATTTTATCTTTTCCTATTATGGTAATGTTTTAAGTTATATAATTATTTAAAAAAATATAGGATTACATTACAACAATTTTAGCCTTTGGCAACAATTTTACAACTGTTGCCTTATATATGAATAGGGGATATTTTTTTTTGAATGTTGCCATTAATCATAACTTTAAAATACATATATTAACTAACAATTCAAAAGTGTTCAAAATAAGCAGTAGTTGTGAACTACACCATTTTTTTTGTTTGGTTAAAATGAACTACACCAAATTTATTTGACAAAGATTTTCACTCTAAGGTTTTCTTTTTAATCTTTCAATTCATCTCGAAATAATGAAGCAACGTGATAACAATTAAATATGGAAACGAAGTGTCAGCAGCTTTGGAAAAATGGAAGAAAAATATTTGGCTTGAGGAATGAATTAAGTTTACTGTTCTTAAATATGAAAAATAAATAAAAAGTAGCAACACAATTATAAACAAATTATATAAAAGGAGAACTAAATCTAAGAAAAATACGAACTCAATAATAGTACTCAAACTGTTTACTAAAATTCTGCCAGAGAGGATCGTCTGATCAATTTTGTTCACTGATAGGAGAAGGAAGCAATCGCATTATAAATCAGTTGAGGATCTCATTTTGTGCTCTTTCTCCCTCTCTTTCCATATTATTATATTAACGTGTGTGACCCCACGTTTCAATCTAGAAGCGTGAGACAACCTAGCTACTCCCCCAGCACACACACATATTGATTGAGATCACATCAACCAATGGCATTTTCGTTTCTGTTCCTTGGACATATTGACGTCAGATGCTTGATCATCTTCATGCATGTCTTGACTGCCCATATGAAAAAGTAGGTCATGATGTATAGACCAATGAATCCAAGCAAAACCATCCAAATAATGTAGGCTTTGACATTTACATCGGAAGTCGATTTACTCCAATAATATAGGCCTGGGGTTATCATGTAGAGCGCAAAAGAGTAGGCAAGTGCAAGGGACGTGAGAGTTATAATCATGCCTATTGATAAAATCCGCATCACAAGTTTATTCTTGAGAGGAACTCCACTCACAAGCAAAAGTGTAACGCCAAGAGATGCAACGAAGGATATGGTATTGTAATTCATGAAGCTGTAAAAGTAAGATGGACGCTTAAAAGCAAGTATCGCTTCCCCAGGACATGCAAAATAAGTGCCATTACTAAGTGGCAAGCAACCGAGGGGTCCTTGTCTAATACCTAAAGCATTCTCGTAACTGGAAGTGGTGTTGGAACTATTAAAAATACCTTGTTGAATGAAGCCTCCTGGAGGATTGATTACAGCTTGAAAGGTTATGGTCGAGATGACAGTAGCCACAAGACTTAAATTCCCTCTCATGTCTTCTAACCAATCACCGTTATACTTAAACTTATACTTAAACCATTTTCCCACGTGCTTCAAAATATTTTTCCACCACTTCTTCCGAGGTCTCATTCCTTGGCCGACATTAGTACTTGTTAGGCCTTCACGATCCTTCACTTCTCTCCTTTCGGTACTGTTAATGCCAGAGTTCATCAGTATCACTTGTATTTCAAGGCTCTTCAAGTCCTGCGGAATTTGCTCAAGAATTTCGTGGACCGTATAACCCATCCCGTTCTCCATGTTAGACAGTTCTCTTATTTCAGGAATTGACAAGAGATACCTCACCGTCTAAACAATATACAAGCAAATTTATTAATTAATACGTCTAAACAATATCAGAAAAATTTATTAACAGGCATCTTGCAGTGTACTCCTTCCTATCCCTGTTGTAAGACATTTTCTATTATGATTTTTTATCCTTAATATATATAAAGTATATGGAGGGTTATTTATTATCATTTTCTATTTTTATCCCCCTTATAAATTTAATTTTATCACTCATCATACATTATGTACCTCTTTTATCCTATTTCTAATAGAGGTAAAGTTGAAAATTTTTTCATTTTAAAACATATTTAATGAGTTAACGTTTATTTTTTGATTTCAATGAAGCAGTCCAAAACATCTTGTGATATATGAACTGGAAGGAGTAGAAAAATAAGCCGTTGCTCTACTCTTTAGGAAGTGGAGCAGCATTTTTTGCCTCAAAGCAGCTCGTATTGTCAGGTATTAATGTAAGCAAGCTTTATATTATAGAGCTTTCGTATTCTTGTTTTGACAGAATAAGCAACAAAAATAACCGACGTTGTGTACTTTAAAATAAGGGAATGACACAGGTGTTAGAATTAATAATTGTTTTTCGACAGTTTTTTTTAAAATGAATTGAAATTATTAATTTATGACAATTATAAATTCAACAATATTAATTATAGACAACATATTTAAATTTCAAACTCGTTGATTGTATCTGAAATTCTTATTTACAACGGTTTGAGTTGATATTTTCAACTCATTTTTTTTAAAATAATTCTATGAGGGACTTAACTGTCATTATCTCTTAAAATAACTATTAGGATCATTTTTTCTTTTAAACAATCATGTTTTGATACGCCTAATAAATAATACCATTAGTATACACACAGTTTAATTACAGTTCACAGGCTATATACTTCCATTGGATTATAATATAAGTCATTTTTTTAAAAACTTAGTCTAAAATATAGGGCACGGGATAGGTGTTACACATTTTTTTCAATTATACCCTTACTTTATTGAATTATTAATGAGGAAATTTTAAAGATGTGGAAATTTTAAAAAAATTTAAAATTTTAGCCAACATTTTTTTAGAAACATAAATTAATTAACAATAACTTACATTATGATCGAATGGAATATCATTGACATGACTTATTTTGAAATTTTTGCTAATATACAAAATTCACTTTAATTGTGATATGAGATGCAATTTTTAGATATATAATATTATAAAAGTAAATTTTATGAAAATTTCATAAAATTATAGTGAAGATATTTAAGTATGAAATTTATGAGATTTTTTGTATAGAATACTTCATTATGAATAAGGATAAATGTCTTTTGAATTAAAGAAAATTAATTCTTTTAAATAGGTTTTATCATATATATATTGATTGAGAAAATTTAGAATTAAAATATGAAGAAAGAATGAAAGATATATACATCAAATTTTTTCTTATTCTTCATTGATAAAAAAAAAAGCACACTTCCTCTAGTTCTATTTACAAGGAAGAGATAAAATAATTTATTTGGTTCTATTTATAAGTTACATAATTAATTTTAATGATAATTTTTTTCTTTTACCCTTCATTAAATATTGGTGAGAGAAAGTACTCCCTTTGGCCTGCCGTATAGGTTGTTTTTTAAGAAGTCTCCCTTGATTCAAAATATAAAGCATGGGTAAGTTTTATATATATATATATATATATATTCAGTTATATCTTTATTTTATTATACTTTATTCAAGTAATTAATGAGGTTATTTTGAATAATTTAAATATTATATTTATTCAATTTAAGGATATGATTGAATATATATGAAAATTTTTATAAAATCAATATTTTAACAACTCTTTTTAAATAAATTTAGATTAACTAACAGGGGAATATATTATTAAATAATATATATTTAATAGAGATAAATTTTAAAATTTATTACTTTTTAGACAAGGTTAATGAATTTTAAAATTTTTCTTAATTATAAGAAAACATATTGAAAATAGTTTTATAAATAAAACGAGAGAAGTATATCTCAATTTTGGTAGAAATTTAGCTTAATAAAGGCGTGGACTGAGTCTAGCTGGATTACATTGAGACTCTCTCCTTACTCTTTATCAGCACATTTCTCCAAAGTCAATCTTATCTATTCATTTCATTATCTGCATTTGATCAATTCAATGCTTTTGGAAACAAATTTTAATAATTGGTTATGGTTGTAATTAAACGTGTAATATATTTAATTTAGTGACATGATTAACAATTTTACATCATTAAATCAAATCAGTATTAAAATGAACAAATTAATGCACTCTCCATAATTTTCATTTATAGAAATAAGTAAAGGTATTGACCAAAAAGAAAAAGAAAAAGTACCTCAACTTGCTTCGACATAACAGCCAAATGGAGAATGGTGTTCTTGCCATCCATGTCTCTCTGATTGAGGAGCTCGTAAGTGTCGCCAATAGCCAATTCAATCAAAGATTTGAGGATCTCCAAGTGGTTGTGCGTGACACAAAAGTGGAAAATAGTTTTACCCTTGTCAAGGATCCTCAAAGACTCAGGTTTTACTCTAATAAGCTCTGCAACAACCTCGAGTCTCCCTCTTATAACAGCGTAGTGCAAGGGAATTCTCCCTTCTTGGTCAAGAACCAAGCACGCATCATCACAGTACTGCAACAACTGCTTCACTATGTCGATGTGGCCTTCTGCAGAAGCTAAGTGGAGAGGTGTGCTTTGGAAGGAGTCCAACTCAATGGCTAATTTGGGTTTGTGAGAAAGAAGGGCTTTTGTGAAATCAAGGTGGCCAAGCAAAGCTGAAACGTGTAAGGGAGTTTCCATAAAGATGGTTCGCGAGTTGATTCTGTGCAAGATCAGAGGATCTTGCAGGATTAGTGTGTTCAAAGTTGAAACGCACCCTCTGTATGATGCCTCGTATAGAAGTCTCATTCTCCCTTCATAGCGATCGCTAGTTGCTTCCATTTTCATTAGTTCTGTCTCTTGCCAGAAAGGATAGCTTATTTGCTTAATTTATAATTACAGTATTCTCTTGCCCCTTGTTGTTGGAAGCTTCCATGTATTTTTCGAGATCAACTTCCATGTAATTACAGTATTTTCATTAGTAGGACATATATAGAGTCATTCAAAGAACTTAGGTTTTCAAAATAAAAAGGATATTCAGAATTAATGAAAGTCAATATCAGCAAGATGGAAGAAGATTCTGTCGTGGGTAGAAACTTTATTTGCTCAGGCCTTTCGTCATTAACTTAAACATTGATAAAATTTTTTTAAGAAAATTAGTTGTCACCACTAGTTGTATTTTTTTTTTTTTGGTCATTTGCTGAAATGAAGTAATCAGTGCTTCAACGTTAAGTAATCATGCACCCCTTTTCGATAGATAATTCTCCAGTTCCCAAAGCTTTGGCCGGCGGCAGGTGGCTAGACCATCGGCGATCGGCAATGTTGAGATTTGCTTTTTTCACAAATAACCAACATGGTCATTTCTCAAATAATCGTGTTAGAAAAAAAATGTAAGAACTTCAAGATAAGTAGCTGAATTCATGATTATTGTCATTTGTTTATTTGGAGGGATTTTTCTATCTTTTCACCTATCAGGTTTGAATTTGAATCCTCAATTTCAAGCACTCCCGATCCCACCCATTACAATTAACCTAATTGACTCTCATGGCGTTTCCAAAGTTTATTTTTCTTTTTCATTATATTTAACATTAACTTCTTTATGTTTCGCTAATTGAACAGTTTGAAGACAAAGGGAGTAATTTTATGGATATGTTTACTCGAAGAAATTTCATGAGTTTTCTATTGATCAAAATGAAATATAAATTATGTACACTTCTTTTTCCGTACATGCATATCAGCCTGGTCATTGAAAAGAATGAAACGCTAACTTTTAATATAATTAGTTAATTATTTTTTTAATTCTAGCACAAATAGTAAGTTCTGCTTATAATAAAAATTATCTTCCTTGAAAAAATTACGTTGAAAAATAGACATCTCCAAACATATACAAGGGTTAGGATGCAATCTCCCATAAACCACCTGCTTAAGACAAAAGCTCTCACCAGTTATGTCAATTTTACTTGTATATTATAGTAGTTATTATGTATTACTTGTAATTTTCATTACTGATAATAATTACTCCTTCTATCCTAAATTATAAAACATTTTTGGGAGTGATTTGCAGCCCCAAAATATAAGACATTTTAAAAAGATTAAGGTTTCATTAAATAGACCTATTCTAATATTACCCTTTATCTCTCTATTTAATATTAAATAAGTGTAGATTTAAGGTTATTAAATGAAGGATATTTTTAAAAATTTATATTTTTTTAAAAATTAAGGTTGTTAAGTGTATTTAATGATGTTTATTGATATGTGAGATTTTGTCTATAAGTGTCTTATAATTTAGGACGGATAAAGTATAATTTGGACAAAGTTTGACTTAACATTAAAATGAATCTATGGTATATAAAGTTCATGGTTTTTTAATGTCTTTTCCTGTTTCACAATAATTTTTTAGCAAGGTTAATTATATGGCTCAAAAGTCAAAACCATACTATATTTTCCTTATAAGAATGAGCAACTACCGTCTTCTGGTCCAATATTTTTTCATGTCTTGACTAATTCAACTGTATAAGGAAACATTCTTCAACTGAATAAGGAAACATCTCGGAAAGAACATTTAATTTTATTATACAGGGGCTTGAAAAATATTAACCTTTATCTCTCTATTTAATATTAAATAAGTGTAGATTTAAGATTATTAAATGAAGGATATTTTTGAAAATTTTTATTTTTATTTTTAAAAAATAAGGTTGTTAAATGTATTTAATGATGTTTATTGGTATGTGAGATTTTGTCTATAAGTATCTTATAATTTAGGATGGATAAAGTATAATTTGGACAAAGTTTGACTTAATATTAAAATGAATCCATAGTATATAAAGTTCATGGTTTTTTATTGTCTTTTACTATTTCATAATAATTTATTAGCAAGGTTAATTATATGGCTCAAAAGTCAAAACCATACAATATTTTCCTTATAAGAATGAGCAACTACCGTCTTCTGGTCCAATATTTTCTCATGTCTTGACTAATTCAACTGAATAAGGAAACATCTCGGAAAGAACATTTAATTTTATTCATACAGGGGCTTGAAAAATACACACGCACGAACATACTCCTTAACTTGACTGGCACTTATCACACGTTTTGAAAGTTCTCAGCGATCACTTGACTTGCACCATTTACATTCTATTTCTGATGCTCCATACATGCATGAAGAATTTTCTTGCAGAAATATGAGCCAAAAGAACAAGGGAAAATCACATCAAAGGATTGCAGAGGAGAAAAAATTACACTAAGGGCCCAATGCATTATAAATTTATTCTGCAAGCTCAAGGGTCCTTTTTATAAATATGTGTTTAGGAGGAAAAGACACAATCACCTTTGGTAGGAAGGAAAGAACGTTGGGTACCAATGGACAATTACTTGATAATATGTGAACTTAAAAGTTGTAAATTTGTAAACATCTAATTAGTTATAAAAAATCTAAACTTGCTATTACGAATTCACAATAAACCTCTAAATATATATATATATATATATATATATGAAGTCATGGATTTTGAATTGTGCATAAATAAACTTGTACTTGTGAATATTTAAATTTTAAGTTGTAAATTTGTGAACTTAGCTAGTACAAACTTATTAACTCTAAACAATAATTTTACTATTAATGGACAATTACTTGTTAATATATGATTCTAAAGTTGTGAATATGTAAACATTTTGTTGTAAAAATACAAACTTTGACTTGCTGTCCTTTTTCATTAAGAACAACTATGTCTTTTTCTCCCTAAAACATATTTGTAAAAAGGGCCCTCGGGCCTACAGAATAAATTTAGAATGTATTGGGCTCTAAGTTTAATCCCTATTGAAATGTGAAAATGTTTGGGTAAAGAAGGAGTCCAGTGGTTAACTAAGTTATTTAATGAGATCTTACAATTCAAAAGAATGCCGGATGTAACATCCGAGAAAATTTTAACCCCGAATTATTAACCTAATGAGAGTAATTAGTGAATTAATGAGGTGTGTGGCCAGAGGGGCTTAACTTGATATAATTGATGTGATTTCAACTTTAGAAGTGGGTCCGAATTGATGGCAGGCCACCCTGGTAAGGAAAGAGAATGAAAAGGTGAAGAGTTGTTTTCTGTGCCACACGCCGCAACACATGATTGGTCTGCCGCAGTGCACGAAGATAATTTAAATACGGCCAAAAAATGAGATAAATCAGCTTGTGAGCTACGTGAAAATAGAAAAGAGAAAGAGGAGGAAAATGAAGAGCTCAATTTTAGCTCTACTAGGGCACGACATTTGGTCCCATTATTGATAAATTAAAGCTCCCAAACACCCAAGGTAACAACATGGTGCTTTCTTCTTCTTTTCTCTCCCTGATTTGTAATGATTTATGGTAGGATTAGAGTTGGAAGATAGATTTTCGGTCCATAGAAGTATGGGTCCGATTTCATTGGTTAAAATAAGTTATATGGGAGTGGTTTAATGTATTAGAATACCACATTAATGATTTTGGAAGTGGTTGGTCTATGAAAGCATTTAATATCCAAAAATTAATATTTATGAAGTAGTTTGGAGACATTAATGTACATTAATGATGGTTTGAAGTGTACTTAATGATGATGTGCATTAATAAAATTTAATGAGCCTATTGGGTATGAATGGGTATTGATTATAAGTTGATAAAAATAGTGTATGAAGAGTTTTATATTGATAAAGCTTAAAGAGCTAGATAATGATGATATGCTTGTGATATAGTTATAGAGAGGTTTGTTTTGGCACCATTCGAGCTTGTTGAAGCTTTGGGAAGCTGATATAGTGAGGGGTAAACCTTTGACCTCTCAAAGGTTTGAGATAATCGGGAGAAACTTAATTTTTATAGTTATGTGTTAATTGTGTTGTAAAATATAATTTATGAGTTAAATTGATGATGTATATTGGCAAAGTGATTGATTTGTGAAATGGTTTTTAGGAAAGAAAACCTCAATTCTGCTACCCTTGATGTTTTATGAAATTAGTTGTGATTTATTAATAGGGGTGGAGAATTACGATGAAATATGTGTTAGGTGTAGAGCATTTGTGTTATGTGAATTCATATGTTAAGAAATAATTGTTAAAATGTATATTATGTGTAAAATATGCATAGCATGATCATTGGTGGGAATTCGCCTAGGGAGAGGAGTAGATTAATTGAAAATTCACGTAGTATTGGCAGTGACAGTTGGAATCGGGAATTAGCCTTAGCACTGACCGTTGGAATTGAGAGGTAGCTCTTGTCCCATGGTTGATTTGAGACTGTCCCACTTGTTTTATGAGGGACTCAAACCTAACTAGTCTCCACTAGTTCACAAGGAGGCTAGATTAGGGGTACAACACCCCATGGTTATTAGTATTGGGAGAAATCGGATTATATAAGTGAGTGAGTTAGCCCTAACCCGGTAGCTCCTCATAAGTGAAAGGCTAGGTTAGTCCTTAAAAGATGTGGCCATGTGATAGCCAACGGTTTCGTGTCGGAAGTAACAAGAGGATATAAGGTTAGCACATGATCATGCATATAAGTCTGGCCATATAGTTGTTAGTTTTGTGGTTCGGCATGTGTTAAAGGTGCATGGTTGTTATTTTTATGACCCTGAGTTGTGTTTTTGAAAATAACATGATATGGTATTTTGTGGCAAGCCCGGTCACATGGTTGTTAGTTTTGTAAACTGTGGCCTAATGTTATGTGATATATGTGTTTATGTGCCATATTGCATCTATTTACAATTAATATGTAACTGTAAGGGTTAAGTGAAATTTGATTACTGAGTAGTTGTACTCACCCTTCAATTCTAAATATT